TAAAAAATTTCATTTTTTTGAAAATTTTGACCCATTTGACCTTGAAGTAAAGGTCAAAGGTCAAATCCAAGGGTATATTTGAAATCTACACATATGACTTTTGGAAAGCCGTCTATAGAAATTTTTCCCATAACTCCTTCCGTAGGGTAGATAATTAGCATTTAATTTTGCCATTTTTAGACAAGGGTGCATTGTAATGAGTGCCACACCCAGACCCCAATACCGACAAAGCCCAAATTTTACGTGGAACGAGTTGAGATTATAGGTGACCTAAATCCATGAGATGGGTACGGGGGCCCTTACCGTCTAGGAGGAGAAGCGGTAACGGTAGCCGTCCGGCGGAGCCGGCGGAGCCGGCGGAACGATCCGGACGGGACCGAAACCATGTGTACCGCCAGCGCTAACGCTGGTGGTACAATTAGTTTCAAGTGAAAGCAAGAACAATGTTAATTTTCAAACTGTGAGAATATGTTTGACACTTTATGTACAGCATATTAGCACTTAGTCCTCAATCAATCTTCTTGAACAAAATCCCACTTATAAAATCATAGCAGTACTGGAATTAATGCACTGAAGTGCAATTATCGAGGAAAATCAATTGGCCTTAATGAGCAAGTGTTATAAAAATTGATAATATGTATAAACACTTCTACTATCAAGTATTAGACTTACTTATATTGCACTTATCATTATTTATATATTTGATTTGGAATGTGTGTGTGTGTGTGTGTGAAATTATAATGTAAAAAAATATAAAATCAAACCATGATTTTATGAAGTATGTATTTAATGCACACTTGCTGAAAGGTTGAAATAATTAAGTTCAAACCAAACTTGAAACTATTTCAAATGACAAAATAACTTATCAATAGATCAATAGTACACACAATCTTGATTAAATCTTTTCAAAAGCACCACATTTCAAGAGTCAAACAAGAAGCTTCTGGCAAAGGTCGAGTGAAAACTGCCAGGCAACAAGAAACAAACAAGTTCAAAAACATCTAAAACATTTCTTCATTCTCAGTGCAGTTTACCTTCTGTTGAAAGTTGCAATGCAAAAGAAAAAAGGCTATGCAATGCTAAATATAAAAAGACTTCCCTATACTGCTTTCATCAAGAACTGGTGGCAAATGTTGACAGTAGGGTGCTAAATATTGACAGAGAACTTTTTTAAGCTTTCTTTTTTTTTTAAGGTTCCCTTTTAAAATTTTTCTCTGGATTCAAAATGTCTGTAAAAAGTATGTTACTACACAATTGCTCAGGTAAACAATGCCAGGAACCAGTGTCATCAACACCAGATAGCATTGTCATATGGATAACATTGTCCATTGGATATAATTGTTATCTTCTGGGCATGTTATCCAATAGGTAAGGTTATGTTTCTCAAACACAGTACACTAGATATTGTTGTCTCTGATATAGCTATCCAGTGGTTATAAATGGCTGCTATCCTCAGGATAACTGCCTGGAGGATAACAATTCTACTCAATAGATAGTGTTATCCATAAGACAGTGCTGTCCAGTGTTGATGAAACTGACCCATTGAAATCCATCTTGGAAAACACAACATGGACAGGGTCAGAATTTAATCATCTATTCACCGACAATTCAAGTCCAAAAGCAAATAATTAAAACTGTGCACTGTATGAATATTAAATCATCCAATTCAGCATGCGTTCTATGCCAAGAAACACCATGCACTAGTAACTAAATACATTTAACTCTTTCAAACGGAGAGTTTAATACAAAAACAAAAAATGTCCATGACACAATATTATAAGACATGCTTTGAATAATTTACATTTTTAGCATGCATATTTGATATAATGTTGGTACAGAGGTTTATTTACTTACTCTTTGTGATCCTAAAACCGGAACGATTGATGCAGTTTTTCACAACGTTTGGTGTCACAGGACTTAGGCGCCATTTGAGGAGTTTCTTAATTTCCCAAGGCAGGGACTCAACTGGAAAATTAATAGATAAATGTATGATTAATTGTATGCTATGGAAAATTAAAAGGAGTGGCTTGTGAAAAATGGACTAGACTAATACAAATACTCAAATAAACTAAAAGAAGTGAAGTGTGATGTTAAAATTATGAAATGCATTTTAAATAACTCAGATACAATCCTTTCAAAATTGGAATATTTCACGACAAAAACTGCATTTTCTAAGAAAGGATTTTCTCTTATTTATAATAAAAAGACTTTTAAGAAATATAGTACATCAAAGTACAGTTTCTGTGACTCTTTAAAAAGATGTTTTAAAGATAAACAAAATCAAACATGTAAGCACCTTTCTCTCCATCTGCCACAAAGTTAATGGTAGGTGGGACGTTACTAAACAGACTAGCAGTCAGCGCGGGCTGCAGTTCGTAATCTCTCAGAGCAGCAGACTTGGGTCTTGTCGTCAACGTCCTTACATCTGCAGAACTCAAAGTTGCATTCTCGCGCAAAATGGTCGACGCAGCAGGTCTCGTTTTTGCAGACTTGCATCGCAGCGTGCTCCTGACACTGGTGGCTGAGGATCGCTTTGAGACTGCACTCCCAATGGAGTATGTGTCAGACTCTGCGTCGCTGTCGTCAACGACGTCGTCATCCAGATTGTCCAGCATGTCATCGTCATCATCATCAATGTCATCTCCAAAGGACTCCCCATCTGCAGGCAGCCGCTCACTGCTGTTAAAGGAAATTGGTAATTGTTAAGAAGACTTTCTACACATAATAATTCAATAATTGTTTATAACAATGTCTCTTTTTATCATGTAAGACACATTTTCCTCTACCACATGCAGTTTTTTAAAATCTTTTTTATTTCAATCTCTTTTATACCATTTCTTTGGATTTCTTCATCATCAATATCATAACAAAATATCATGTATTGTGCTCCCAAATCAAGTGTCTAATAATCAGTGCTAACATATAACATTGCATACATGATTTTTGCATCTGAATTTCCTGCAATTCCCAATGCTACTATATACACACCACAGTGTCACAGACTAAGTACATAGTTCTGAAGTTTGCCCTAAGCAACTGCACAAGTAGGTGGTACCCTTAGCAACAGGGGACCAGGCCAAGGCACGTTCAAAGCATGAGAGGAAATGAAAAGGAGGGGGGGGGGGGAGAGAGAGAGAGAGAGAGAGATGGGGAAGGCTGAAACTTTTCATATCAAAAGCCGTATAGTAACAATTCTTGGAGGGGGCTGATCAAATTTCCAAGCTCTGAACAGCATAGAATTCAAGTCAACAGGTGTTATTCTAACTCATTTTACATGGCTCACAAAACACTTCCATGTTGAATGTTAGGGGTTTTTAAGCACACTCAAAGGCCCTAATCAGGCGGGTAAATATTAGCTCAGGGCTATTGAATTTCATCTGGGCCTTTCATAATACTGTGGGCTGTAGTCTCTGCAATGAAAACCGAGAGCAAATGTGAGGGCCGTTGACAAATTTACCTGCCGTGGGTTCTATGTTTGTCAATTGTTCACGGTTAATTGACTTCATTGATTCAGATAATTGAGTGAGATTGTATAGGTGTAATAATTACAATGTCAATTCTGTTCAATTTTCATGACTCGGAAACAAGAAACCTAACAGGCATATTTCCAGGGTATATAGAATTCCTCAATTGCCAAGGCTCTACGATTAGCAACTGTGTTGGTTGCTAGGCACATTTACTGTTTCTCTTGTATGAGAATATGACTATTTCGCAATCTGAACCCAAGAACAGTCGGTAGACCATCGTTAATCTAGAACCACTCCATTTCCCCAAGTCACTTTCACGATACAAGGAAACTCCGTCTCTATCTATAAATATATTGTGACATGTTAAATGAATAATTTTCTAGTATCACTAGAAATTATATAATAGGAAAAAGATCTCTGTCTTGATATCAATGATTTATTGCCACTAAATGCCAATCAAAATGTGATCTGTAGAGTCCTTGTCCAATCCATAAAAAAAGAAATCTTATCATTTATGGCTAAGCATCATCAGGGGTCAGTGCTGTTAGAGAATTTGCACCTGAAAGCTGGTCATGACCTCAACTCTCAGCTCAAAATTCCTCGTCTTCTCTGACCCAAAATAGTGGTTCACCAAACAAGGTAACATGGGCCATGTTTTATAAAAGAAAAGAATGGATAACTTTTAAGACCAATATTTTAGCTAAAATTAATTGTTTTTGGTCTTAAAGCATGTTTTTGGTCCTAAAGCAAATACCGACTATTGGTCATTTAAGACTTGGAGACTCATTTTTTAAACCTGTCCCTGCTAAATTATAAAATAAGTCTGACACTTTTAACCCTAACACAGAAAACCACTTGGACACAACTAATGCTGGAAGTCATAAAAATCACAGAATTAAGCCAATTTACTTAAAGTTAAAAAAAAAATTTAAGGATCTCAAGTCAAGGGGTTAAAAACAAATACCATACCGTCTGAGGTAATTACAACACTGCTAGGCAACAGAAGAGAAGTATGACAGTTTCTACTGCCAAGGCAGTAATCACATTCAACGTGTGATGGCTGCACAGATTAAACCTTAATTGAAAAGCGATCAAGGGAGTAAAAGGTCGGAATACAAGGTGCCCTTATCTGAGCGTTGTTGGTTACCAGGTTTGTACAACAGATAAACCTTCCCTTACATGACATGTGGGAGCTTATTGATATGGAAGTGAATCACGAGACTTTAAATGGAAGGATTACATGGGGACTGTATTTGCTTCTCTGAAGTTCTCTCGAAGAGAGCATTAAGAAACCTGAATTACCGCCTATGTTATTGAGACTACACTGAGTGTTTAAGAACATCATCTACGTGTTAACTCATCTACGAGTGCATGTGTTGTGCCTGAATTTCATTTATTAGATTGATCTACTTAAGATCGACCTAACTCCCTGGGGGTTCACGCTAAATAGCTGTCAGCCGGGTGGACACGAAAGTTAATTACCCCCTTACAGCTTGTTGTAGGCGGGACGAACATTTAAGCCGGATTATCTGACAGTAATCTAGTGAGACTCCCCGCGGGGATAGATCGATCTAAAAGCTCTGGGAATATAGCCTTAGTTATAATATGATACGTTTCACTTATTTTATAACATCATCAACATCAGCAACAACATGTCAATAATAATAATAACAAAGCATTCCATCAAATACTTATAAAATCAAAATTGCCAGCAGTAACAAACATTAGAAATATGAATTGCAACAACTTGTAATAAATAACATTTCATTAAAAAAAATCTCCAAGTCTTCTTATATTGAATATTATTACAGCAGCAGTAAAAAAAACACTTACTTGGTATTTACGTCATCATAATCCCCATCG